GAATAAATAAATAAATAAATGAAAAATAATAAAACATTTTAAATATTCCTTTGTTTGTATTTTAGCATAACAGAGTTTACCGGTGAAGAGGTGAGAAGATTTCAATTTTTCCTTTTTCCTCTTATTTTCCTTATTTTCCTTTTTCTATATTTTCTTTATATTTACTTATTGTTTTTCATTTAATTTTGGTTTCCCTTTTATCACTTCTCCTTACTTTCATAAACGTTTTTGGAATATTTCTTTCATTGAATGATTATACTATTTTTTGATATTATTTGACAGCACCCTCAGCCAGCAGTAGTTTCTCTAAGACTACCAGACAAGGTAATAATAAAAACCCTTCATTATCAGTCATCACTGTCATCATCATCGCCATCCATCTTCATCATTGTCACAATCATCATCAACTACACCATTACCATTGTCACCACTATATTATCATCATCATTATCACCATAATCATCATCACCATCACCACCACCTTCATCATATCATCACCATCATCATCACAACCTTCATCACCATCACCATAACCATCATCACTGTCTTCATCTTTACCATCATCATCACTATCATCATGACCATCATCACTGTCTTCATCTTCACCATTATCATCACTATCATCATGACCATCATCATCATGACCATCACCATGACCATCATCTCTATCATCACCGTCCTAGTCATCACCAGTCATCATTCAGTCAACACCACCATTACTGATCTGACATCTTGTATTAACCAATCATTATTGTCTTCTATCACAGTCAGTGGTCCGTACCTCAGACGTCCGGGTGTCTAACAGAGTGAACAAGTCATCTGTGGCTCTGACCCGATATCCTACCGTCTACAATGATCTCACCTCAGAGGTATTATATTCAAATACTACTTCTATTAATGGGTATAGTTTTTCATTATCTGTCTTCGCTTGTTGCTACTGCTGCTGCTGTTGTTGTTGTTGCTGCTGTTGTTGTTACTGCTGCTTTCTTGTTGCTGTTGTTGTTGTTGCTATTGTTGCTGTTGCTATTTCTGCTGCTGCTGTTGTTGCTGCTGCTTTTGTTGTTGCTGCTGCTTTTGTTGTTGCTGCTATCGTTGTTGTTGCTGCTGCTGCTGTTGCTGTGCTGTTGATATTTCTGCTGTTGTTGCTACTACTGCTGCCCCTGTTGTTGCTACTGCTGCTCCTCTATTGTTTTTGTTGTTGTTGCAGTTGTTGTTATTTCTGCTGCTATTGCTACTGTTGCTGTTGCTACTGTTGTCTTTGCTGCTGCTACTGCCTTGATGGAAATCATAACAGGCTGGAAACTAGTTGCTTGTTTTCAAGTTAGTTGCTCTTTCGTGCCTTCTTTCGCTTACTGCTGTCTGTCATACGTGCGTGTGATCATTGGTATAATATAATATTATATCATATGCTATTTGTTCTCTTGTTTAGATCGATGCTGTAACTGTAAAATGGCTGGATAGAAATCTGTTCATTGGTGAGGAGATCAAAGAGGTGTACCAAGAGGTCATCAGAACCATGAACACAGATCACTTACTCTTTGATAAGGTAAGGAAAACCTTTTAAGGTCTACCAGTCATAATTTGTCTTTTCTTATGCAGCTTCAATTCCTTATGCACCAATCAGAGCTATTTTTATGTCTACCAATCAAAATTCTGCGTAGACCATCCACCTATAATATCGCGAGCTGTCATTGGTTCAACTAAGGATGTCTATCCTTACCGTAACCGTGCCGTGATCTTCTTTCTATCTTGTATTTCATGTACAGGATTCATACGTGCAAAATGCAGCTACCAACATTGACATGTCTTGTTGTACCTCGTCTTCTACTCTCCTCAAACCAAGGAGCGAGCGAATCATTAACGAAAACTTACGGGGAAACAACAAGCCACCTTGGGGGAATGACGGTGCAGATAACTGGAGAAACAGGTTAGACATCTTTGGTCAATGTGCTTTGACGGGTTTGCGTGTTCTTAGCTGTGTACTGTTTTCCCACATGAGACCACGTGTCATTCCCTTAAGTTCTTATTTTTATTTACTGGTAAAGCTTAGGAAATAATTAAACATTCAGTTATTCAATAGACCTTTTTAGCTTGACCGTAATGTTTTCCCATTTCAGACCACGTGTCATTCCCTTGAGTTCTTATTTTTCTTTACTGGTAAAGCTTTGGAAATAATAAACGTCTAATTATGCAATAGTCTTCTTTAGCTTGGCTACAGCTACAAGCTTGGGTAAACCTAGAATTTTTTAATTGGTCTGTCCCATTAAGAATATTTTCATTTGCTATTCCCCACATTTTCAAGTAATGGAAGTCACTTCAATCACCTAGGCGTATGGTTTTTCCATTTCAGACCACGTGTCATTCTCTTGAGAATAAGATTCTTTGTTTGAGTCGTATCCATATTCTTGTGTCTTCTCATACGCAACCGTTAAACAAAGAAATGATACTCTAGGGAATGAAAAGTGGGCAAAAAGCCAGATGCAAGACCACCCAGTAAATGTTACCTGAATACCCCCTATAAAGTATCTACCATACTAAAGTGTCTGTCTGTCTGTCTGTCTGTCCTTGTAGTCCAAAGTTTGGAGGCTTGGGAAGAGAAGATATCTTACAGGTATTAATTCTTGGTTTGCACATGATGTCATAGCCGCCATCTTTGTTGAATTTAGCAAAATAGTTTTCAATGAATAGAGGTTTTGCACCATCACTTGCCGGCGCCATAATCCAGCTTGGACTGCCTGTAGTTAGATGGCAGAACAATAAAATCCCTGTGCTTTCGGGAATTGAATTCTTTCTCATGTAAAACGATTGTATTGTTCCTGCCATCTAACATGGCTGCCGTCACGTTGTGGTGCAAAACCTCTATTATTTTGTTATATCAAACAACATGGCCGCCGTGTCTTTCGTTGTTTCCCTCCCTTGTGAATGATCGAAAACCATCACTAGAGCACAAACTAGAACCATATATCTAGAGCATCGCCATCCTGTATACATTCTTGCCCTTATCTGATCCAGTAATGATAAAAAGGTAAATTTTACACCGTTAAAAGATGAAAAAACTTACTGACGTTTCGGACGCTAGCCCTTCGTCGCTTTTTTTTTTTACTCCGACGAAGGACTAGCGTCCGAAACGTCAGTAAGTTTTTTCATCTTTTAACGGTGTAAAATTTACCTTTTTATCATTACTGTTTCATTAGAAACACCGACGCAGCTCACACTAGTTTTTAGCTAGTTATATCTTCTTATCTGATCCAGCTCTCTTGTTTTATTCCAGGCCAAGATAGGTAACCGAGAGGAGACTGGTAGCAAGTCCTATAACTCCTGGTTGGCTTGGTGGAGATCTACTATAACCTATGACGATTATCTTAAATACATCTCTACTCAGGTTAGTTTCTTCTGCGAAATGCATAAGAATGAAGGGGTAGCAAGGGTTCTCATTAAGCTTTTAAATAATATGAGAAGATCATGAACTAGCCGGAGAGTCCTGGCAGGTTTTCATTAATTTTTGAAGTCATAGAATATCATGGTAGTTCAAGCCGGAGGATTTTGCTCAGTTTCTTGAGCTTCTCCGATCTATCTATTTATCTATCAACATTTTTTATTGCTGCTTTTCAATCATTCCCAAAGGAGTGAGGTAACAAAAGACACGGCGGCCATGTTGGATGATATAACAAAAGAATTCAACATGGCGACTATGACGTCATGTGCAAACGAAGAATACAGAGGTGCCCAGCTCAGCAAAGCTGGTTTTAATGGGGCTCTGTTTAAAATAAACTTACAGACAGAAAATGTAGTACAGAATACAAAAATTAAAGTTACAAAGTACTAAGATTAAAACACTAAACATGTAGTATTGCATGGCACACAGGGTTAGTTTTTAGCGAGATCTAAAATGCTTTTTAAGTCCAGGCTTGAATCTTGTTAAGTCCTGTACCCTCCTCAGGTCCAGCGGAAGGCTGTATCAGATCTTAAAAAACCCTGGTCGGCACAATATGAAGTTGATCCAAGATCCAACATCAATTTTTATTCCATTGAACTCCCAACAGCTTCTTTATTGTTTGTCTTCTTTTTCTCAGGAAAATGATTTTTTGTCGGTGATATTTCATCTCTATGACGCTGATCGTGATTTTGATGAAGAGTTACTGGAAGAGAATAGACCTGACACTGTACAGATGCTCTTGAACAGGTACAAATAGACYATAACCTAATAGCGGTCTATCACAAACCCCGCGCTCTGATTGGCTGAGCTACTAGTGGTCTATAAGTTATAGACCATGCATTAGAAGCAAAAAGAGCTGGTTTTGAAAACCCAAACAATGGCGGCTAACTCGCGTTTTCAAAATGATTTCAATATTTTTTTTGTCCATTCATTTGACCGATTAGTAGGTTTAGACTAAAACAAGTAGACACCTTGTTCTTGACTCGTAGACCATCCGCGTTTCGGGTATAATTGTTGATTAGCACCAGTAATACCATGTCGTTTATGTGGTAATACAAAGATGGAGCACTGTGTACTGATGAACGCCAATATATCTGATATTATTAAATCACCTAATTTTCAAGGGAACGAGAAAAGAAAGTAACAGAACTCAAACACCAGAAGACAGAATTTACATCTGGTGTTTGGAATGTTAATGCAGTGCTTCTTGGTGGCCTTGGACAAGACCCTGAAGTTGAAGGTTAGTCCAGCAATACCATCCGTAACACATCAATGATCATGCACCTAATTCAAAAAACGTTGTCCTAGCCAAAGGCGATAGGCAATAGGCGAAAAGCAATAGGAGGTAGATCATTCCAATATCCAAGAATAGCTAAGAATGTCTTGTGTTTCTGCTTCTTATTCTCGTCAAGAACAATGACCTTAATATTGAGACGGATATTCACTGAGACTGAGACAAATAATTGTTTTAGTATGAATACACAGGTGATTCTTTCAAAAAGAAAAAAAGAAAATAGAAAAAGAAGATAAAAGACATTTTTTTCCTGTAGCGGCAACAAAGGGGATGGCCGCCATTTTGGATTATCGCTGGAGGTGATTATCGTGTGATAGTGTGAGTTTCTCGACCAATCAGCGCGCGAGATTTTCAATAATCACCTGTGTATTTTTACTAATTGTTAGTAGTCGAAGAAACCAAACGTTCCGTCCAGAGTGGATAGATAAGCTGGATAAATAAATAAAATAATTTTTTACGTTCTTCCTATTTTGTATTATTCTGTCATTAGACGAAGAATTACTCTCCAGCTTGGAAAATATCGTAGTAGATCAGAGCTCTAGCTCTGAACGGCGTGGCTCGACACCAGTCTCCCAAGTCAGCAGCGTGTCCGCGGACAAGCGATCATTCAAGTCATCTAAAGGAGACCCTTCGTCTAGAGCATCTCGCGTTCTGGATAGACGATCCGTTGCAACTACTGTACAAACAAGATCTGAAATGAGTAAGGTAAATAAGTATATATATGTGGATGGAAATGCTGGTCGTCACGGAGTACGGACTTGTAAATTTTGGTTTAAAAAATAAATTTGAACTAATATGGGAGACAACTTAGAGTCTTTAAGAAGGGAAAATGACGCTTTAAAAGAACAGCTTAAAATTWTTATTTCTTGATCTTCAATCATTGGTTAGTATCATTACACAAGTTGCAAGAGCGAGGAGGCAGTTGGTAACTAATAATAATGATAATAATAATAATGATAATAATAATAATAATGATAATAGTAATAATGATATCATCATCATCATCAATCATCATCATTATTATTATTATTATTCAATTTTTAAAGATATCTTAGACAAAGTCAGGGCACGACTATAACGCACAAGCTTCAATGTAATGCAAAATTCAAAGTAATCTGTCTAATATATTCTCTCTAATGATATTGTGTTTTTATCAGGAGCAAGTGGTAGATCTTCAGGATAGACTAGAGCGGCTGTGGACGTTGTTATGTATGCCAGACGTACAGCGACTAGATATGGCCATCAAATACAGCAGCGAACCATACAAAAATAACCTATTAAATGTGAGTACACGAACTGTTCCAATCAATAGAACCTAGTTTTCGTATGTCTTCGTAAAAAGTCACGATACGGACGTGCCGTGTCGTGCCGTTGATGGTTCTGTGTGTGAGGATTCTCATTGGATGAATGGGGATCTCAAGCTCTGTGTTTGGTTAAACAGATGTCAGTACGTACCGTGACCGTGCCGCATGTCGTGATATTTCCAGCTGAAATCCCCAGAAATAATGCCATTTGTATTTTCTGTAAGTCAGTACCGTACGTTTCAATTTTAAATGATAACCATTCCTACGGAAAGCCATTACAATGATAAAGCATGTCGTACCGTGTACTTGCTGTAAGCCAGTTCCGTACGTTTCCCACTCATACGATAACCATTCTTATGGGAATCCATTTCTAGGATAAAAAATTAAAAGCGCTCTTATAAAGCTCTTTCTCTTCACCAGGCTCTCAGTGCTTGGGAAGTTGCTACAGAGGCAGTTTTACAACGAGAAAGCCTGTTGACGAAACTGGAAGACTTCGAGAGAAAAGCTTCAGATCCGAATCGCTTTTTTGAGAGAGGTAACTGTCGATACTAATAATATAAACCATTATTTATAAAAAAGGAAACTAAATACTTTTTGTGTTTGTTGGGGGTTTACTGGGAATCAAGGGTGGCGTGACACGGGTAAAAACGCACTGCGCATGCTCGAAAGTTCGGCAGGAAATTTGCAGAGGCGTCGTGTTTACAAATAAAACCATTGGAGATTTACCAGCTTTGGTAACTCTTTAAAGTTAAGACCGTTTGTGGAAAATTACTGCTTGTTTTCCCCTAACACATTACTATAGTTGTTTTCTTTCCCTGACAAATAATACGAGAGAAAGTCGCATACTGTAATACAAAACGCCGGTAAATCTTCGATGTTTTTTTGTAAACACGACGCGTCTGCAAATTCCCCGACAAATTTCCGAGCATGTGCAGTGCGTTTTTCATCACACGTGTCGGGTGGCGTAGCAGTAACATATTCGCCTCTCAACCCTGGAATCTAAGGTTTGATTCCTGGACTCTGCTTCACATGTGAGTAGAATTTGTTAGGTCTTTCCCTCGTCTCGAGGGTTTTTTTAGAGTCAAAGCAACCTACTTTTTTCCGCCATTGATACAAAAAAGAAGAAGAAAAGAAGAAGAAGCAGGAAATGAGAGAAACAAAAACGTAAAACTGGTATTTATTTATTCTATCAATAGGAGCAGGAAGGACTTCACTGTCAAGAATACGAGAGGCGAAAATACGAGACGCATTTAACAAGGTATGACGACAAAGTAAAAGGGTTTTAAGTCAGTCATGGGATTTCATGTCAATTTTCTCCTTTGTTAAATGATATCTCTTGTCAAATAACTTGGATCGTTTTCTTCCTCCCCCTCCTTATGAATTGTCTACTGATTTCAATAAATATGTCCCTATTTTTGTTGACAGAAATTAGTTGACCTTGATCGTGAAATGAAGCGCACCGTAACTCTAGTGAAGAAACAGTTCAAAGATGATGTCACATTCCAGGTAATTTTTTACTACTTCCGGCTATAGAGTAGACTGTTGAACCAATCACAGGCCGCATTCACTACCCATCCAATGAAAATGTTTGGATACGGCACGGTCAAAATTACCGCACAACTCCTTCATTAATAAGAATTGTTTTACAGTCGTGAAATCCGCTCTACATTCCCACGAAAGGAAATATATTAGTACTCAGTTCGGATGCAATATAGATGCTCTTTTAAGTACAGTCCGGAAATTTTCTTCCTAGATTTACCGTAAAACAAACCTCTATTGAGCGGACACACAAGGTGTACGCTCGATTAGCTATTCCGAGGTCGAGGGAAAAACTGGGTCGAGTTGGCTTTGCAGTGTATTGTGGGGCTGTTTTAGGGGACATATTTTCAAGATGGCGTCTATTTCATCTCGTAAAACAGTCCCACAATGCATTGTCATGCCAACTCTAACCGATTGTCCCCTCAATCACAGAATAGACCTCTTGCAGCACTTCGGAATGCAGCTCGATTTGGAGGACATAACAATAAGTTTCCAATTCTCATGAGATTTAAATTCTATTGTTTTGTCCTCCAAATTGAGTTCCTTTGACGTCACATGCAAGGGGTCTATACCACTGTATCCATAGAATATTGTGAATAGCACCTAAATAACAATAGACCCTTTTCCAATTACAATCCCCGATGTAATATTTAACAACTGACGCACKTGCACAGAGACATTATTTCTAAATTGTCAAAAACAAAAAATAGCACGAAATAATGTTTTATTAAGCTGAAATTTCTATTTTCCTTTCGCCAGGGTCGATCATGTCTTGAAAAGCTTCGCTATGACCGAACAGAGATGCTTTATTGGCTTCAACAAGAGAGGAGACAAGAAGCCATAAACAAAGAACTGGTCAGAGGGAAAGAAATCCCCTTCAATTCTCTTAGTCTGCCTCCCCTGTCAACTAATAGTCTCCTATAATCTAAAAACTAAGTATATATATATGACATTCAAATGTCTATATTATTTGTCACACTTTGCCTGGGAGGGGTGGGTAAGTTCTATTTTGGCTCCACTTTCTTTCGGGACTATCCCAAAAATTTTAAATATCAGGAATGGTGAACGATATAATCGATTCTTGTCTGTATAAATATTTTCTACGATTTAATTAAATAAAAGTAAAATTATACATCTTTTTACAAATATAAGTGAAAAGGTTTGGAAAACGTTTTATTCGTCTTGTGCTTGGAAATTTTTGTGTAAAACGATCGCAAAAAATGTGAACACACCGCTTTTTCTACGAGTAAAACCCATGTCATTTTTTTCAAACTTTGTCAAAAGCTTCTTTTTTCAGATRTACCCTTTCGGGAAAGCAAAATTTGGGAGTTTTGTCCTTTTGAAGTTCAAAACGTGTATGGCTACTCAATAAAATTTTGAAGGTCATTCAGTTTTAGTGCGCGCGCACATCGTGGGTTCACTTTCGTGGGCTAAAATAATGGAGCGTGCGCATTAGCTTCATTTTTAGACCTTGGTAGACCTTAAATGTTAATTCTGAATATGAGCGAAAAGGAATCGGGTAGTAACTCCTTCTAAAAAGACATCTTGCCAAATAATAATTTGCTTTAAAAAAATAGAAAGTCTTATCTGGATACGTTGGTGATCGACCCACTGACAGACATGGAAATTAAAACAAAAAACAAAAAAAGAACGACTCCACTTTGCCATACCCCCGAGACATCCGCAGAGCTGAGGCGTCGTATGGACTTCGGACCTGACGGCGATTAAATCCTTCTGCCCTTGGGTGTACGAATTACGCAAGAAAATGTTCTAGCCGAAGTATCAGGGGAGAGACCAGCCGGCCCCCAGACCATATCGGCTAATCCCTTGCATCTCTGCCACGCACGGAATCGGTTGAAAATATTATGTTAAAAAGTCTGGTCTATCCGGTAAATTTTTTTCACGACTATTGTTATGCTGATTCAACTGGAAGACGTGGTCCAGTGGAAAAAACGTGGGCTTCCATGACACTGACTCAAGTCCGGTTGAGCGAAGTTAGCACCTGGATGGGTGACCTGTTCTTTTGCGAGTTTTTTTTTTTTTTTCTTCTTCTTCTTCTTCTTCTTCTTCTTCTTTTTTGTACACTCGTGTTGTACACTCCATCAAACATTTGAACATCAGAATGTGATCTTATCTAAAAATCTCGAAATTTAAGTGTCGCAAAAGCATAACCTCCGAAATCGCGAAATTGATTATGTGGGCTTCCTGTGTCCAAGTGAATGCAAGTTCAACGACCAGCGGTGTCCAATGATATTTTACCCACAGTTCCTCACGGTCAGTTTAAAGTGTACCACGTGACGCGAGTGGTTTGCTGGTCCTCGTCCTGGCGGCAGCGTGGAAGTTGTAGACTTGATTCAACATAACCATGCTTTCTTTAAGATTATCCACCTCTTTGGCTCGAAATGTTGCTAGAAATATCCCTAAGGTAAGGTCCAATATCTAAAGCAACTACTACTGCCTTCAATTTCAGCCAAGAATCCGATTTTTTATGACTTATTTTGATTCAAAACCAAGGCACTTTGAGAGCCGGGTTTTCTGAATATTTCACCGGCTTTTCTCTCCAACTCGAAAAATACAGAATGTTCATCATTTGGGGACTTTCTATTCCCTTTTCTCTATTACTTGAATTCAAATTGATTCTAATTTAGTCATTATTGATAGTATTACATATTTCTGAGATGGAATAGCTGTAAAAAATCTTTGTTCTTGTCATTCAGTTCTACAGAGGCTCTCTTGGAGCTGCAGTGACTGCCTCTAGACACCTTACTACATCAAAACCATCTTATGCAAGCGCTGGTGCTGGTTAGTGTTTAATAAAACTACTTTATGGGAAGGTTTTTGATTACTTCTATAGATTCTATACTATCGAAAATCACATTTTTCATTTCTATTCGGTGTACTAGGGGAGTGGTACTGGTTGGGTATAGAATCCTGTACAACCATTAATATTATGTTGTACATTTGATAATCTAAATAAAGTAACTGTAAATTCTACCTTTTTTCTATACCATTCCATAATGTTTAACCCAGTCAACCAATATTAAATAAAATTGTCTATGATTCGATTTATTTTTTGAATTATTATTGATGCACACTTTGATTGATGTATTATTTGATTACATCATTGCGGCCACTCAGGGGAGCGTTGGTGCCATTTAACAAAAGATTTCTTATTAGCATCCATTGTTAAGAGCACCACAATGGCCGCCATGCTTTTGTCTCTTAACTTTCTCGGGAATGCTTGCAACCCATCAATTGAGATGAAGACATGGCGGCCATGTTGGTGGCAATAAAATTAGATTGTAATAAAGTCTTTTGTTAAATATCACCAACATGGCCACAGGGAAAGAATTTGTCTTAAAAAGAGATAAAACTGTTGTAATCAGAATGTGCCTGATTTTTGTTTATGGCTCTGGCATTGTTTCACATTTAAAAAATCACTTTTCTATATCTTTATCATATGACCTTAAAATGATATACACTTTCATAGGGTTTTGATGAAAGTTTTGAAAAAAGGAAATTTTAAACGAAACTCACCCCTGAAGGTCTCCAGAAACCTAAAACTAAATAATAATAACAACTTGCACATGGGGAATGGAATGGATGTGTTGAATGAGAGTTATCTCTGAAAGCTTCATTATTCAACTTCAGAACTTTTATAAAATCTCGTAATTGAATTTAGGCACAGCAGAAGTCTCATCCATCTTGGAAGAGAGAATTCTGGGTACTGTGCCCAAGGCCGAGCTAGAAGAGACTGGCCGTGTACTGTCTATTGGTGATGGTATTGCTCGTGTCTATGGCTTGAAGAACATCCAGGCTGAGGAGATGGTGGAATTTTCTAGTGGACTCAAGGTTTGTGAATAATTATTATACCTTTTGGTGCAAATAGTCATGGAACACCAAGATAATAATAATAATAACAACTTTATTTAATGAGGGCGGCACTACATAGTGTACTACACTATTAAACTTGTGGCCCTCAATATAAAACTACTAATATTTACAAAAGATAGCACTTCATTAACTGATAGCTGTCTGATTTATTGATGTTTATTTGTGGAAAATTTTAATTCATGTTTTCTTGATTATCATCTAAGGGTATGGCCTTGAACTTGGAAGCAGATAATGTTGGTGTTGTAGTGTTTGGTAACGACAAACTCATCAAAGAAGGAGACATTGTCAAGAGAACTGGTGCTATCGTGGATGTCCCTGTTGGAGAAGAATTGCTAGGCCGTGTTGTCGATGCTTTGGGTAATGCTATTGATGGCCATGGGCCCATCACATCATCAACAAGAGCTCGTGTTGGTGTAAAAGCACCTGGTATCATCCCAAGAACATCTGTCAAAGAGCCCATGTTAACAGGAATTAAGGCAGTAGACAGCTTGGTACCTATTGGACGAGGACAGCGTGAGCTGATCATTGGTGACAGGCAGACTGGGTGAGGGACAGGAATAATTTTTTTATAGAGTCCAGGGAATGGGTCTAGTTTTCATGGGGCTAAAGGGGACGCTGGCCAGCGGTCTTCGGTTGCTGCGGGGGCGCCTTCAGGGGCTTCATAGCACATGGCATGCTACATTTGTAGATCGTCGTATATCATAACGTTGCGCTCGATTGCTGCTTTTTATTCCTACCGCCCACCCATCATTGGTTGGCTTTATCAGGTAAGTATCATTCTCCACTGACTCGGTCAGTGTTACTGGTGCCTGGAGGTGGACCGGGTTGCATGGCAATGGTTACCTCCGCTATGAGCAGAAGTGCGACCTGACACAGTTTTTAGGCACTTCCTTCCAATTCATCAGTGCCAATGAGTTTAACAGAACTTTGCAATCAGAATGACACACAGCATTTCTTTTCTAATGGGAATTTTGGTTTTCTGGGTGAATGAAAAGCCCCCAGATCATACCTGCATAACCCTCGAAATAAAAATCTTTTTTCTTTCTCATTGAGTTATTGTACTCTGTTTACAGCAAAACAGCCATTGCTATTGATGCTATCATCAACCAAAAGAGATTCAACGAAGGAACTGACGAGAGTAAGTCTTGTTATCCATCCAGCCTTTTCTGCCCTAAACTCCTAAAAACACCTACCTCTTCTGATTCCAATTCTATTCTCTTTCTGATTGTGATTTTCTGTTTCTGATTCTGATGCCTCTCTGACCTGAGTAAAAAAAAAATTGTGTCACCTGTTGTATTATTAACTGGAGTACATTATGATATCCACAGAAAAGAAGCTTTACTGTATCTATGTTGCTATTGGACAAAAGAGAAGTACAGTGGCACAGTTGGTAAAGAGACTAAAGGATGCAGGTATGGTCTATACTAGAATCGGTCCATTTAACCCATCTTTGTTTTCCTATTCCAGACATCACCCTATGAGACATGAAGAACAAAAAATGCTTGTATCCAAACTAGACCACAATGCACCACACTCACTATCTCTGAAAATAGCATATATTATGGATGCATGCAAATGAGATGCAACTGAGACAGCAAGCATTGTATCGACCCAATAGCCTCACTTGTATGATTTTTACTGCAATAACAGCTATTTCAATGTTTCCCTTAATGACAACATTCTTTGATTTTCATTAACATCCATATTCCCCTGAGTGTTGCTGGTAAACAAAGAAATAAATGAAATGATACCCAACAAAATAACTGGTGATACGAATTGAAAAAACAGATGACAACAACTAAAGCTAGAGTGCATACCACATGTCTGTGAAAAAGTTAACTTACAATATTGTACAAATTAGTGCAAAGTTTTGTAGGTCTACAGTCTACTGGATTTACTAACTTGTGCAAATTTGTGAAATTTCTTACAAAGTTTTACACAGATATATGGTATGCACTCTACCGAATGTTATCATACAAAAATCCAATTTATCTGCCAGATGGCTTTCCACTTAGATCAACTCAGAGTCAGACTGTTTCATAAATGTTTGGTTAAGTTCAGTTTGGTATTCTAATAACCAAGACAAAATCACTATGTATCTTAATGGGGCATGAGTAGTGTGTAAAGTTCTTAGTGATTTAAAATATTGCAATAGTCAGAGGTTACTTGAGTTTTCTTCAGTGTTAAAATGCAGTTTATTTTGTCCTAATTGTAGTGGGTTTTTTTTCATTTTCAGATGCATTGAAATACACCATCATTGTGAGCTCCACTGCCTCTGATGCTGCTCCATTACAGTATCTTGCACCATATTCTGGATGCGCTATGGGAGAATACTTCCGTGACAATGGAAAGCATGCTTTAATCATCTATGACGATTTGTCCAAACAGGTACTGCCATTCAACTGACTATTTTTTATTTTCTTCTCTCTAATAGTTTGATTTATTTAAACCAAATGATTGTTTGATATCAGGAGACCTTAACTGCCTACCCCATCTCTGTTATTACGAAAATTTTATTTATTCCCCACCCCCTACCCCCACCCAAAAATTAAGTACAGCTATTTCAGAAAAGGTTGACGAAGGTTTTGTTGGATGTTGCATACCAAGCTCAAAATGCACTATGGGTGATGTGATAGCAATCTACCAAAGGTCACAACAATATGGATTTTTTTCAAACTTTGTCAGCACATTTTTCTGGAATAATTTCTTGTTTGCCAACATTATTTACATAATCATAAATACATTAATTGCTCTAATATACAAAAAACTTCACCAAAAAATAAAAAGTAATAACCATGTTATTGAAGTATACGCACTGATAATTCTATTTATATGTTTAGGCCGTAGCCTATCGTCAGATGTCTCTTCTGTTGCGTCGTCCACCTGGTCGTGAGGCCTACCCTGGTGACGTATTCTACCTTCATTCACGTCTTCTAGAACGTGCAGCCAAAATGAACGATGACAATGGTGGTGGCTCTCTCACTGCTCTACCAGTCATTGAAACTCAAGCCGGTGATGTGTCGGCATACATTCCAACTAACGTCATTTCTATCACAGACGGACAGATCTTCTTGGAGACTGAATTGTTCTTTAAGGGTATTCGTCCAGCTATTAACGTTGGTTTGTCTGTCAGTCGTGTAGGTTCTGCTGCTCAGACTAAGGCTATGAAACAGGTATTATACTGTACACCTATCTTTCCTCTCTTTTCTTATTCCCTTTAAACATTGTATGCCTCTCTTTTATCAGGGACATAGTAGACCCACCCCCCACCACTTTTTGAGAAAAATGATTTTTGAAATGAACCATTATATTCTAAAACAGTCACGAATTATAAAACTAAATTCCAATCTTCAAAAATAATAAAAATTTAGCTTTTGCTTTGCTAGCTTATAACAATCAATGTAAACTTGCTAAACAACCCAATTTTCATTTTAGCCCCTTTAATAGAAATTATGCTTCTATGTCCCTGTTTAAATTGTCCATTTTTATGACCCACTTTTGTGAGGCTTGTTCCTATTCTTCCTTTTTGTTTCTTATTATCAGCTAACATTTTGAAGTTTGAAATCATGGAGTAATGTTGTCAAAACATCTCAATGGTTTGTTATTGTATTTTTATAGGTTGCAGGCTCCATGAAGCTTGAGCTTGCTCAATACCGTGAAGTTGCTGCTTTTGCCCAGTTTGGCTCTGATCTTGACGCAGCTACACAGGCTCTTTTGAACCGTGGTGTGCGCTTGACAGAATTATTGAAGCAAGGACAGTATGGTAAGTTTATTAAAACTATTAAAATTTTGTTAGTACTTTCCCAAATTTGCTTAGATGACCACAAAACAATGGTTTGAAGTTGAGACTGAACTTAATCCTTTTATTCAACCTTGTCTAACTTTGACTTGAAGCCATTGTTACGTGACCAGTCAAGTGAATTTTGGGAAAGGTCTGTTGCTTGGTTCGACCCTGGTTTTGAATCAGCTAGAAGAATCTCTAGGATGTTGTTGTACATGGGTACAATGATTACTGTATAGACTTGTTTCGACCACATTTTATTATTATTTTTTACCCAGCTTTCACACTACTAGTGCATCATCAGGGCTAATATAAATATTGTAAACAATGATTCAAATAAACTAAAAGAATCTCATTACCAAGGCAAACACTACCCTCCAAAACCAATCATCTCTGTGCGTTCCTACTAAAACTTTACATTTACCAAAAGCAATTCTTGTCAAACCAAAAATTGACATGTATTCTTCTGTGTATTTTAGTTCCTATGGACATTGCCGAGCAAGTAGCTGTTATTTATGCTGGTGTCCGAGGCCATCTTGACAAAATAGACCCTGCCAAGATCACTAAATTTGAACAAGCTTACCTGTCCCATATACGTAGCACTCAACAAGACCTTCTCACCAGCATCTACAACGAGGGTCAAATCTCAGAAGCGAATGATGCCAAGTTGAAACAAGTTGTAACAGATTTCTTGTCTGCCTTTGATTAATACAGCTTTCTAAACGCTATCTCAGTTTGAAGTGTTTATATGAAATATTTTTTAATTTGTGCTGTGGAATCTGATACAGAAAAAGAAAGAAAAAGTCAGATGTGAGAACTTGTAATGTTTGAGGCGAGTGCCATTTAAAGGGAATTAAAAAACCATTATTAATATTGAAATTGACTATGTCTTCATTTTAGATACCCTCTGTTTGTGTGTGTGTGTGTAAACTTCTGGTTTTCCTTTTTTGTCATGATATGCGCAGTTAAACAAACATAATCAATTTCAGCATGTTTACCAAAACTCTGAACTTGTGCATCTGAGTTTTTCAGGGTCAGGGAGCATATGACAATAAAAATGGTGTATTTGGTATAGAAAATTTGGGGATTAGAGTGCATGCAGTAAAACCATGAAATAAAAACAAAGTTGGTACTGACTAATAGTAGAGTACAAACACAATTAGTGTGTAACATAAATACCACTAAATACTGCTAAATTATGCTAATCCTATTGTTTTCTATTGTTTAATTAGCACTATTTACCATTAAATAGTGCAAAGTGTTGCACACTTTTAGTATTTGTACTCTAGTTATTTAGTTATTTAGTTATTTAGACTAATATTTAGTTGCTAGCACTCAACCAGAACTGTTCATTATACAAAGACAAATACACAAGAGACCATTTGTGTCTTTTGTGTAGCAAATGTTCTGGTTGAGTGCTAGCAACTATTAGTCACTAAATAGCTACTATTTGTCAGCATCAACTTTGTTTTTATTTTATGGTTTTACTGCATGCACTCTACAAGTCTTAAGACTTTTTAGCTTGGACTCGATTTTTCCTCATTTCAGACTTTGTGTCATTTCCTAGAGTATCATTTCTTTTCATGAGAAAATACATGAATATGGATAGGACTCAAACAAAGAATTTTACTCTCAAGGCCAAAGAAATGACAAGTTATGAAATAGGAAAACATTACACTCAAGGTAAAAGATCTTTTTATTAAGACTGATTACTAAGACTTTGAATAGGCGGGGGGGGGTGGGGGGAGGTTTGCATTTGTCATTTTATGGTAAAGTCATGCTGAAGAGAGTGGTTCGTTTGAACCTTTGAGCCATCCCTGCTACAGGCCTGCTACCCTTAGCACCCATTCTGGCCTCTCACTGCAGTCCTGAATGTGTGTTGTCAACAGTTCTTACAAAAAATTAAATCTACATTCGAAAACAATCTGCAAAAATAGAAAATATCTTTCAAGGGATAAATACTTATGACAATTGACGACATCTGACGTTAAACACTGACAAAAACACTCGCAAGTAATCTTGGCAGAGATTAAATGGGTTCAATTTGGATTCTTTTCAATTTCTGCATAAGGCCTCAAAAGTGAAGTGGCAAAAAAACAAGTATCTTGTTCAGTTACACTTGAAGTTTACCAAGATGCAACAGTGGTTTACGTATTTGCAACATTTAAACTCCAACCCATAAACAGAATCTAGTCGAGTCTGTATAAAAGCCCCTGTACTGATAGTTTGAGAGACAAAATTATGTAAAGATGGGAGGGGAGGGAAAGGTCATTGTTTCACAATGTGATTTTCCCATCTGAAAAGCAATGTTTTTCTAAGCTGTTTCGTATGCGAAGCTTAACGAAATCTCTTTTTTCCCAGAAAGAGGTTTGACAAATGCCTATTACATGTAATACTTTTCTAATAATATAAATGATTCGCGTGCACGTATTCGCATGCACGTGATGATTACTTATGTAATAATTATGGAAGTTTCTATTTTTAGCGTATTGTGTGGTAACCCTGTGGCAAGCATATTAGTTTACGACAACGTTTGAGCTTGCAAAACACTCTCGAAGGAGATATTCGTCTTCAAGAATAAAGTCCACTTCTTACAATTTTAAACCATTTCTCCAGCCATGGGCAATGCAAAAGCATTCCTTTACCTTTTTAACTTCATATATTTGGTAAGTGTAAGGCGAATTTGTTTGTTTTAACAGTTTTTTACGTCCAACTTTACGAAGAAAGATGCGAAGCATACTAATAGCCAAAGCAAATTTGAATAATCTTCGTCAAAAATCTCTCGAAAATATAACTTTTATAAACAAAATTATTAACATTTTCTTGTTAAATCATTTATGATATGTATATTTGAAGCTAGAGTTCTTAGTATTCGATTAGGAAAGCTTGAATAGCAGAGATTTTGCAGCTGTCAAAAACGTCTTTTTAGCTGCGTGGTTTCGCTTCTTCTTTGAAGGCGGAAATCCTTCCAGATGTCCTCGAGTCAAAGCGTGATGTCATTGAACAATTAAACCATTACTTTTAATATGTTTTATAAGGAGTATTGAAGGAAAAACTTTACGGGCAGACTTCGATATTGTGCTGATATCCTTTGTGTGATAACACCTTAAAAATGGTTTCAATTATGCTTTTTGAACATCGCTGTAAGATTCTATAATGAAACCTAGAAAGAGAGAATTTATACGATTAAGTAATTTAGTGGCAAACTCTTTAAGGGTATGGACCTTTATCACACGGCAGCCATGTTTATCCTCATGAGAAAAAAAACCCTTTGTTTCACCCGCATAAACTCATTCTCAAACTCTTGTATGCGTGGTAGAATGAATCTATTGTTCCAACCAACATGGCTGCCGCGTGAAAAAGGCCCGTTGAAGCTTAACTGGCTTATGAAAACTGAACAATGGCTATTGTATAATTCAAATTTTGTTAAATTCTTTGAAAAAAGTAACATGTTGTTTTGCAATCATGTGGATCTAATCTCCTTCCATTTCCTTCACCTTTTAATTATATCCTTTCTTTTTTCTTTCTGTTATTTGTTATTTCTTTCCCTTACATTCACTACTTTCTTTTTGTTCCGGGGGGGGGGTGACTCCAGGAGAAAAGTACTGGGGATGCTCGTCGTATCTCTTAGGGGTTAAAATTCACGATTTGGTATCTTTTAGGGTGTTAAATGCGAATATTTGAAAATCAGCATTTTCTGGTATCTCTTAGGGTGTCGGAAAAGGAGAGAAGCACGCATCCATATGGCTTATCCTAGGCGCTTTTTATATAAAATTTNCCCTTTTTTAAAGACTTCCGGTATCTTTTAGGGGTCTTTTTGAAAATTTCCGACGAGCATCCCGGGTACTTTTTCCCAGAGTCACCCCCCCCCCCCCCAGGCTTTTTGTTTTCATCCACACCTTAAAGGCGTGACACAATATTGCAGGCAATCTTGCTGAAATAAATTGCGTTGTGTGACACGGCTCACAATCGATTGCCTCCAACATTAATAGATTTGCTTTGATTTGATATTGTAATCACAGGGTATATCTGGTTTGCTGATCTATGTTGCGGTATGGTTGATTAAATCCTACCGTCATTTCTACGACATTACATCAAATACCTATACGGTGGTACCTGCTGGCATCATCATTGGTGTTGGTTGTCTCGTACTCCTGACGGCAGTCATTGGATGCTGTGGAACATGCTATGAAAACAAGTGCTGTCTTTCCTTCGTATGTATTATTATTTAATCTTCTGCAAAAAACAACGCACTAATTAGCCTTTAATTTCCTGAGTTGCAGAACGTGTTGCATCTCGGGGCTGTTTCAGGGGATGCTTTCAGGCCCGTCGCTAGGACCTTGAAAGGGGAGGTTCATTTTTCAATCGATTTTAGTTATGCCATTTCTTGAAAAACTAAATAGCTAGCACAAAACATTAATATATATTCCTACACAGGTGGAGGGGGAGCGGGGAGTTTGTTAGAATGTTTGAACCACCACTAGCCACAAGCCTGGCTTTAATATATATATGGTGTCTTTTTCAATAGCTGATAATGTAAAGTGATAGGAATCTTTAATAATTGTTGACGTGTTAATACACTAATCATAGGTGCCTGTTTGTTATAAGGATATATATGGGAGCTATATTAGTTCTTATTTAATTATATATTATTTTTTTGAAATTACTTTGGTTTCTTGGTGAATAAAATGTTTAATGACAAATGAAGTGTCCCTCAGAACAGCCCCACTGTGGAAAGGCTAATTTAAGCCATGCACTGGCTTAGATCAGCACAGAGATGTGGCTAAAGCCCTACCACTATTTAGCTTTCTGTGATAACATTTCTTGCTTTTCTTGGCCCTACTGGTCACTTTTTAGGACTGTACTGTCCATGTATGGCAAAAATTGTAAAGATGTGTTTCTATTTCAACAGTTCTTTTTCCTACTACTGCTTGCCTTCTCACTGGAAATTTCTGCTGGAGTGCTGGGTGCTTTGTACAAGAATGAGGTAGGAACCATGTTGTAACCCTTTAATTCATCCTCCACGCCCCCCTTATTGCACAATTTGGAATTTGATGAATGCAATACTCTTTTGATTCTCTCACTTCCTATTTTACTCATTAATCACAGGCAAAAGAGGATGTTCACAAGGGTCTGGATGCAGCCATCGAACATTACAATAACACCAACACTGGAACTGATAAAGTCATTGACTATGTGCAGCATAAGGTAATGTTTATGCCTGATATTCTTAGTGTTATGCTTTCCTTCTGACGTGATTCAAGTACAGACAGACAGACAGACAAACAGACCGACGGAAAGACAGACAGACAGACAGATAGAAAACTTTATTTAACCATGGTAAAAACATCAGCTACATTACTATTTTACATGTTTGATGTGTGCAGGGAAAAAAATATGGGTGGTATGCTGTGGTGTGCGCTAATAATGTGTGCTAATACTGTACGCTACTAATTCCTGAGATGCTTTGTGGTTCGCTCCTGTGTGTGCTTCAAGGTTTTTTTGTGTGCTTTTAAGGGTTTTTCTCCTGTTCCCTGGTTCTTCTGCTTCATCCTTGATGCTTTGTCTTAAAGACCCTAGGGTTCCCAAAACAAGAGAGTTAGTCCTCGTTAGAATACCCTACCATCTTTTAAAGAGAGCCTGAAATATATGTGTTAAAATATTTAGGGAGGCATGGGTTATTTGTACCACAAATGCACTGTATTTCACCAATGGGACCAACATTCCTGGGCTCATTGTTGTATGTGAGTAGAGTTGTTTGTTAGTTTTTTCCTCTGCTTTGAGGGTTTTTTACTGGCTTCTCAATTTTTCTTCCCTCCTTAAAAATCAACTCCTAAATTCCGAATTTGATCTGGTTTTGTAAAGCTTAAATACAAGCCTCTGCCTCCCTTGAATGCTGACAATCCCTCCCTGTATGTTAGACATAATAAATACCTTTTTTACCTTTCAGCTGAAATGCTGTGGGGATAATACTTACCAAGACTGGCTCAAATCTGATTACTACAAAAAATATAGGGAGCTGCCACATTCCTGTTGTCCCAATGAAGGAAGTGCCTGCAGAACATTAAATGTTCTTAATAAACCCTATACAGATGTGAGTAAATTTTAAGTCCAGGGCCCAGTCGTATGAAGGGTGAGTAGTGCTATCCAATGGATAAATCCTTATCCAGTGACTAAATCCTTATCCAGTGGATAAGTCGATGCTGGTATCCAATAAACTCATCCACAGGATAAGATTTATCTGTCGGAAAGCTCAATCCACCCTCGTTGCTACTGGGCCCAGTACAAAAAGTAATGTTGTCTTATCCTAGTAGTAGGTTCATTTCGTTCCAATATATTTTCCCTTCCTTTACCGTTTTTTCTTTCTCTTTTTTTATTCTGTTTTCGTTCACTTCTCTTCTCTTCTCTTCTCTTCT